ATTGTTCAGTAAGTTATAAGCTATCAGATAAATAGTAAATATTTATTTGTTACATATTTATTATATATGTGTATTTAAAAGTATTTGAATAAGTATGTATGTTTAAATCCAGGATTTAAATTTAAAATTTAATTAATTTAATTTAAAATTAAATTACTACACATATATTTAAAGCAAACATTCAAAATTATTTAATGTCAAAGGATGAAAGTCAGGTAAGTTATGAAAATGGCAATCAAGACTTGATTTTATGTTTTTATAAACTAAGATTATAAAACAAAAAGTATTGCTAGGTATCCCTAATGTAGGATTCTTACATTCTGGTGACATGTTAAACTTACCACAATTCAGTAATAAAATAACTTCAATATATAAATAAAAAGATATAGATCTACAATGACAAGTTGCCAAATTCATGATCATATATGGAAAACTAAACAATTTCTATAATTCACAGTTCAAGCAGATATAATTTTGGTAAGGATATGTAAAATCAGATTCATAATTCACACACTTATTCTAAAGGTACACATTAAACATTATAAAATTAGAGAACACATTTTTTCAAGCAAATAAAGAAAACTGACTAGGCAAAAAGGTCAGTTTCAATAAATTCAATGGAATTGATATCATAATTATCTGAATACAATATTAGTTATTTAGGCTAAATAATTTATAAAGAAACTTTAATCTTACACAAATTCTTCCATAAAGTAACAAAAAGAAAAAATACTGCCCATTTTTTGTGATAATACCAAAACCAGACAAGGATAGTATAAAAAGGGATAATTACAAATCAATATCAATTCACACTAGTAGATGGAAATATATAATGTTTGTCTTTATATATATATATATATATGTACTCACACACATAAAGTTTATATATGTATATATATGAGATATATGTCTACTATATATACACATATATAGAGTTGATATATATCTCAAATTAGCTTTATTTTGGAAATACAAAATGAATTTAATATTATAGCTTAAAAACTATGATTTACATTAATACATTTAAAGAAAAAAATTATATGATACTTTCAATAGCTACAGAAAAAACATGTGATGAATCATCCACTCATAATAAAAGTGCTCATCAAAAGAAGAAATATAAGGATGGTGCAATGAGATGAACCATTACATGTACGACTGCACATATAGTGTGACTCTACATCATGTACAACCATAGAAATGTAAAGTTGTGCTCCAATTGTGTACAATGAATCAAAATGCATTCTGCTGTCATATATACCTAATTCAAATAAATAAAAAGAAGAAGAAATAACCTTCCTTATTGTGGAAACAATATTATATACAAAACAATGCATGGTTTAAAGCTGATATAATAAAGTCTTTCTCTTTATTATTTTAAAGACAAAACAAGATGTCCTTTTTTTCTTTTATTAAACATTATTTTGGAAGGCCTAGCCAATGCAATAAGACAAGGAAAAGAAATTAAAGGTATAACAATTAGACAGGAAGAAACAAAATTGTCATTATTTTCCAATGAAATAACTATATAACCAACCTGAAAGACTCTACAGGTAAATTTAAATTAATTCATTCTATCAAATTCAATTAACAAATAATAGCATATAAAAACAGCAGCTGGATTTGCATGGGCTAACAAGATTAAGCTACAGAATATAACTTATTATATAAAAGAAACCATTTACAATAGCAGTAAAAGATACAATGTACTTAAAAGTAAATTCAACAAAAATTAAGTAAAAGAAATCTAGGGAGTAGTAGCACAAACTGTTAAAGACAACTTAAATAAACAGCCTTATGTACCAGGATATTTGAATGTATTACCCCAAAACTATATGATGAAAATTTAATCCCTGATACTGAAGTTTTGAGAAATGGACCTAATGAAAGGTAACTGGGCTATGGAATGTAATGAATGAATAAATACCATTATTTTGAGAGTTGGTTTGTTATAAAATAAGGTGTTCAGAGACCTTTTACTCTTTGTCACCCTTTCTTTTCCCTTCCACTATGGGATGATGAGACAATAAAGCACTCGCCAGATGCAGTTCCCTTGATCTTAGATATCTCATCCTCTAGAACTAAACCAAAAATTTCTATTCCTTATAAGTTACCCAGTATCACTATTCTAACACAGCAACACAAAACCAGACTAAGTCACAAAGTTAATGTAGTATCAATCAAGATCCCAACAAGCTTGCTTGTTTGCCTGCTTTTTAGTTTTGGAGAACATGACAAGTTTATTTAAATATTTATATGGCAGGTCAAAGGTCCAAGAACAGTTAAAACACTGTTAAAGTAGGAGACTAAACAGATGGGAGCACATTTTCCTATCAGATTTGAGGACTCATTATAAAAACTATAGTATTTAAAAATTATTTAGTATTGTTCCTGAGTTAGATAAAAAGAGTAAAGAGCTTAAAACAAGTTTGTGCATATATGGAAAACTTAATTAATGCAGAACATCAGTGCTGGGACAATTAATTATCCATACAAAATTTTTAAAAATGTAAAAAATCAGTTTCCAAGTGGAATAAGACTAATTGTTGACTGCAATATCAATAAAAGTATCTTGAAATAAAAATTCAAAGATTGTTTTCATTGAGAGAGACAGAGATACAAAGAAAGAAAGAAAACCTCAGAAGCAAACTGAAAGCAGGCATTGGCAGCATGCATTGCTACAAAGGATTGATTAGCATGCAGATTATATAATGAAAGCACTCCAAGAGAAGACACACAACCCAATATGAAAAGGAGCACAGGACAGGAACTAGAATTTCACTCACAGAAAGCACAATACCTAATCAACATATAAAAAGATAGCAGTCTCATTAATTATGGGGCAATGCTAACTGAAAGCAGGTGAAATGCTATGCCCTCTCTGTCTGATTGGGTAAAAATGAAATTTGACAAGACCAGGTTATGACAAGCATGTGGAGCAACAAGAACTCCATGCATTGCTAAAGGGAATGCAAACTGGTTCAGCACTTTGGAAACAGCTTGTAAATAACCTGATGAGGTTGAACATACAAAAATCTAATAACCCAGCAACTCTACTCTGAGGTGTGTACTCTAGAGAAGCTCCTGCAATGTGTTAGAAGCTCCATTTTCTGTTAATATACCCTGTAGTGGGCAGATTTTGAAAAGGCCCTCCCAGCCCTTCTTCCAGGTTTTCATGCCCTTGTGAAATCCCTTCCCTTAGTGGGCTGGATCTAGTCATTTATGTCTAATGGATAGAAAATAGCAAAAATTATGTACGCTATTTTTGAGGTTAAATGACAAAAAAGATTCTTCTTTCTTCCTTTCTCTAGGGAAGCCCCCTTTACGTTGGGAAAGTGGCTGACCATTATGCAGAGGCCCAAGTGACAAAGAACTAATGTGTACAGCCAGAGTTAGGTGGGCGGAAAGCCTTGCTGCAGTCCAATGAGTCAGCTGGAAGGAGGCCCCCTGGCCCACTCCTATCCTTCAGAGGGCTGTAGCTCCAGCCAACACCTTGATTCTTTGACTGCAGCCTGTGAGAGACCTTGAGTCAGAGACTCCCAACTCAGCCACCTTGGATTCCCCACCCACAGAGTGTGAGATAACAGGGAGATAATAAGGTTTGTTTGGTTTGGTTTGGAGTTTTTGGCTTTAAGCTGCTAGGTGTTGGGGTAATTTGCCACCTAGTTATAGATAGCTAATACTTCTCCCAAACTAGAAACAACCCAAATGTCCCCCAGCAGGAGAATGGACAAATTAGAGTCTATTAAACCATGAACAATGAAACTGGAAGAAGCGTCAACAGGGTGAGTCTTACAGATTTAAGAACATGTACATACAGGATAATATTCCTTAATATGAAAGCTAAAAATGGGGAAACCAACACTTATATGCTTTTGGAACACACACATAAATGTGGTAAAACTATAAAGAATATAAGGGAATGATTAAGACTAAAATCATGACAGATGCCATGTCTCCAAGAAGGCAGGGGGAGAGAAGAGCTCCCCCACCCCCCAACATGGCATCTAAGGTACTGCGTTGCACTATTTCTTGGCCTAGAAGATTGTCAGTATTCGTTTATCATCCTTTAGACTGCTTTTAGTTATTGTGCATTCTTTATACCCAGACATTTTTTTTTTTTTTATAAAGTGAAGCGAAGCAAAAAAGAAAGCCAACTATTGAAATGCAATTAATGTACAAATAAACAGTTTGGAGGATGAAAGGATGGACAGATGGTTGGCTGGTCAGCTAGGCAGAGACATTCTGTTCTTTATGTCTAGTCAGAGCTCTACTACTTCCAGGAAAGTTTCCATGATGATCCAATTGGCAAAGATTTTCCCCCTATACTGTGCTTAAGGCCTTCTCCCCCCTTTTCAGGTTGGGCCAAGTCAGCGGCCAGCTGGGGGCTGTTTTTCTAGGAACTGTGGGATCCAGCACTGGCTGCCTCAGGCCCAGTGCATTCCAGACTAACATTTTCCGCAATCCCCGCACCCACGCTCGCCACCACCCGCCCCCCACCTCCCTCCTCCAGTACAAACAAACCCAGAGCCCTGGGCCCCTGCAGCACTGGGGAGCTGAGGACTTTAACCTTGGGGGGTTAAGCAGAGACCAGCTAGCCCAGAGGAATTCAATATCGAGCCTCCAGCGCAGGAGACAACATCACTTTCAAGGGTCCTTTGAACAAATCTCAAAAGCTCCTTTTGGAACACAAACCAAATAACTCGAAAACAGGGGGTCCTCCACCTCCAGGCAAGCAGAGGCAATAACAATGGAGCGAGCAGGAAACGGGTTTTGAGCTGCAGGGAAAATTCTGAGAAGGCCCAGAGAGGAAGGAAGGACCTCTGTGGAACAGCTCTGCCACCCGGGGGCGTGCACACGGAGCCCCCACACCAGTCCACACCTCTCCCGGGCATTCGCCGCCTCGATCCCTCTCTCCCTCTCCCCGAAGGGGCACACAGCCCTGGGCCTGTGGCCACAGCAGGCCTCTCCTGGTCCACACCCACGCTGCCCCCACTCACCCTTTGCCCTGCTATTTATTCCCTGCAGAGCGGGATCCTGCAGAAAGGACCAGCTGGGAGCAGGCAGCAGTTGTTCCCAAAGGAAAGGAGATCCTGGAGCGAGAAGGGTGGACGCTAGCTGGGGGACGTGGAATGTCGCAGGCTTGGAAGGGGGAGCAGGAGGGGGGCATTCTCCGGAGCTGATTGGCCTTCACGGGGTGTGGGTGGAGCTAGGCCCCGAAGCCCACCCCAAACCCAACCCCAAAACCAACCCAAGCCCGCTTTGTGTCAGTTTCTACCCCAAGATCCGGGATGGAGACCCAGGCGCCTGCCCTGGGCGAACAGTTTGTTAAAACATTTTTTTTTAAGCCCATAAGACTATTTATGAACAACTAAGCAATGATAGTCTTTACATGAACTAATAATATGCAACTATTTTTACTACTATTTAAATATATGGATGCTAGGGATTTTTAATTTAAAATCTCAAATGGCAGTAAAACGGAGAGTATGCTTCCATTCATATAAGAAAATATTCTCACATTATTTTGTTTTTATGTGGTGCTGAGGACCAAACCCAGTGCCTCATGCATGCCAGGCGAGTGCACTATCACTGAGCCACAAGATACATAAATAAGTAAACGTTTTAAAAAAAAAATTTAAAAAAGAAAGAAAATATTCTCTGTGTGCTTATATAAGGGATGGGGCTAATAGTGAAGAATTCAGCTATTGACTCATGTTCACAACCACTGATTTGTTCTAAAATAGCACAGGCCTTGTTTTATAGGTTTAGCAAAGTAGTCAGGTGTTAATAAGGTGTAACAGACAAAAACAAATCAAAAGCAAAACCCTGGACTCTGAAGCTTCCTCCTGCCCTACTTACAAGCTGGGGAGGACATATGTTTCCGTACCTACTATAGTAAATTATCACACACTTAGTGGCTTTAACACAACATAAATTTATTATCCTACAGTGCTGTAAGTCAGAAGTCTGGCACAGGTCTCCCTGGCTTATTACCGAGGTGTAGGCAGAGTTACATTCCTTTCAGGAGGATGTGAAAGAGAATTCATTTTCTTCAACCTTTCCATCTTCCAAGAGTCTGCCTTCAATTCTCTGGCAACAATCTCATCACTTGGACTTTGGTGTTCATTGCCACATTTCTTTGGAGTCTCCAGACACCCTCTGTTACTTAGCAGAACACTTGTGATTACACTGGGCCTCTCCAGATGATCCAGGATAACCTCTCATCCCACAGTCAGTCACCTATGCATGCATCTTAATTTTATCTGTAGACTCATGTTCACAACCATGAGTTCTTCCCGGGTACCATTGCACACTCCCAGGTTCTGGGAGTTAGTGCCTGGTCCTTTCCAGGGTCATTTTTGTGTCTACCACAGAGGGTTGATTGATTTCTAGCTCTGTCCTCCTCTGTGACAGTGGGTCTGGTGATCATCTCTATCTCACAGGATCACAATCCCGATAAGTCAATGCAGGTAAAGCCCTTAAAGTGGTACCTGCACATGGCCAACTATGTGAATGACTACTATGACCACAGAGATGAAGGGATCCTTGGGAACTCTTTCCATGAGTCCTTGCATTACAGACGGCGAGTGACTTCAGTTTACAAAGCAAGACACTTCTCCTGCCTTGTGGGTCCTTTCACTTCTGCTGCTGGCCCCCTCTCAACAGCAAACCCTTCCCACTCCCTCTCCAGAGAGTGTGGATTCTCCCTGTTCTGGTCTGCATCCCTCAACTCCAAGTCCTTCATCCCTTTTGATGCTCATGTTCTTTGGGGCATTCTGCTCACTCTTCTGTGTTGTTCATCTTTGTCCCCCAGTTAATTAAGTTCCTTAGAGGTAGAAAGCATAGTGGGTAGAAAACCAGTAAACTTGTCTTATCCTCTTACCGCCGATTACTAGCCACTGAAAAGTCCACCGCTTTTCAGGATTGTTAACACAAACGATAATGTGTGAGAAAGGTCGTCCCTAACTCCCAGGGCAGTCACGACTAAGCCTGGAGTCTGGCGCGGGCTCCCTTCTCCACTCCTTGGCTCCCAGGCGCAAAGCCAGTCTGCGGAGAGCGTGTAGGTGACGTCAGAGGAGCAGAGGGGGCTGGGCTGGGCCGGGGGCTGGGCCGGGGGGAGTCTGGAGAAGGAGGGTGGAAAAGCTGCGCAGGCTTGGCCTGAACCTCTCCTACAGCTTGGTGCTGGAGGGGGTGGGGTACGCCTGGACGGAACACACACACACACACACACACACACACACACACACACATATACAGGAGGCGCCCAGAGGACTGTCTCACGGTGGCAAGGGATTTTGTTTTGAAAGAGCCCTGGGCACCTGAATTTCAAGGTCCTGTTGCATCTCGACCTGTGCGAACCCTTTCCACTGACTGCATCTCCGTGGTCCTTTCGTGATACAGCAGATCGGAAGAGAAGTGTTAGTTGTAAAACTCTGAACAACTGCACAGGAAAAACAACACCAGCTAAAAATGGTGGACTCTGTGCGTGTGTGTATCTGGGAAGGGAGGGCGACACTCAGGCATGTCCTGCTGGCTGTCAGCATCTGCCAGGAGGAGGGGTATGGCCACAGAGAAATGCAGCTGTCTCCGCAGAGAGAATGAGGAAGAGAGAGCTCAGTTGCAAGGAACTCTGGTCCTTTGGAAGCAGCCCACAGTCTCCAAACACTCTTTTGCCTTCACAGGCCCCTCCGAAACCCTGTTCAGCTGCACAAACATGCCAGGCACCGGGAGCCTCTCCCCATGGTAGTCAGAAACCTGCTTTGTGCTGGTAGCCTCTAGTTCTCTTCCAAAGCCTCTGAGAGGCAAGCTTCCATTCTGCTCCCCCCGCCCCCCAAGAGGCTGGCAGAGTAGTTGTGGGGAAGCTTAGACTCACAGGAGAGTGAGGAGAGGACTCAGGACACCAGGGGGTAAAGAGTAAAAGAGGTACAGGGAGGGGAACTGCAGTTGTCCTCTGAATCCCTCTGCTCCCTGTTAGATTGGGATGGGGGGCTCTGGGTTTGGTGCCCCCAGATAGATGCACTTAGAATGCTACCATGACATGGAGGTGGAAGGGGTGGGGAGAGGGATAGAGGGAGAATCAGAGGCCCACCCGATGCCTTCCTCCCCCACCCCCCCACCCCAGACTGGAAGCTAGGATGGGTCAGAAGAGAGTTGGTGCTGAATAGAACCTGCCCTTGTCCACTTGGCCTATGTGGCCTGCAGATCTCTTTTCAGTTTTATGCAAATTGTAGTTCCAAGTTTTGTCTATAGTTTTGAAAATGTAAACCAGTACCCACTCTCGAAAATATGGGAGAGCAGTTTCTTCAGCTGTGTAACTAAGTTTTTCAACGCTGCTTATTTTGCATCCTCTCCCTCATGTCACAGTTAGGTAGCTAAGACTTATCATTCCTTGCCTCAGTGACTTTATCAATGCAGAAAGCAAAGTGTCAGGGCAACCTCATAGGCATCTGGCTACCAGTGTAGTGACACAGGGCACTACACTCAGGAAGCCCCCTGTGCTTAGGAGGCCTCATAATCAGGAAGTCCTATGCTTGGTTTTAATGCTCTGCTGTTGCCATCTGGAAAATTTCTCATATATTTTGAATGAGAGGCTCTGCATTGTCATTTGGCACCAGATTCACAAATTATGTAGCTGCTCTTGCCAAGCATCCTGAAGGATTCAGGTCTTAGTAAAACCAAGAACTGCTAAATAGGGTTTTAAACAAGCTGAGAC